CTGATTTGTCTTCAGACACATCATAATTCATGTGTTTTTTATATTCAGTGTCCAGCTTTCAGTGCCTTGCAAATTTCTGTCCATTTTTTTGTTTGTTTTCCCTTTTTTTCACTTCACGACTGCAAACCTGAGTTTTTAGGAATTTTAGGTCTGTTTAGGGAAACTTTGATTTGTCTTCAATCCTCCTCTGTGAATACTTTGTTGATCGACCTTTCATTGATTGTCACTGATGTTAGAATGCAGCTGCAAAATGGTTCAAATTCAGTCAGAACGGAGATGAACGTCGATTTTCAAATCTCATCACTAATTCTCATTGAATTTCGGTCTGGACTTTGACTAGCCCACTCTAACGAGTGAATGCTCTCTGGTTTAAATGATTCTGGGTTGTTGTCCCGGCGGAAGGCACAACTCTGCCCGTCTCGAGTGTCTTTTTCAGCACCTAACACTTTCTCATTCGTGCTTGTCGTGCATTTTGCCTCGTCCATCTTCCATCTTCCAGTCAACTGAACTAAAGAAAGAATCCCCATAGCATCATACTGCCATCATCGTGTATTTTTGAGGGGTTTTTGACATTGTTTCTGTGAAATAGAATCTGTCTAAAGAAGTTAAGGACAAATGATAACTTGTTGAGCTTTACAACAGGATGTGTTCATTACATCTTTAACATTATCAATGTTAAAAATGTTAAAGATACACATTTTTATTTTTGATGTAATTTTACACTGTTTTAAACTGATCTGACCTGAGTGGTAATAAAATAGCTGTTATCTTACAGTGTTCTAAAGGGAGTGAATATTTTCAATACCATAAGTATGTTTTTCAGTAAAAAATTACTAGCAGAAATATTTTTGATACTAACAATCATAATTCTATTCAATACAAGTAGACACTTTTGGGTTTATGTAAAATCGGAAATATTTTGGGGCTGCAAGATAGAAATATTAAGACTAAACAATAAGGTTTTAGGTCTTTAGCCCTAAAGTTTTATTAAAACTACCGACGTTTGTTAGATGGACATTACCTCGCACTTCATTCACTGCATTTGTTTTCCCGACAACAGACATATGTTCATGCCCTTCCCCGTCCATGTGGTGCGACAGAAACCCGTCCTGTCAGGTCAGACTCCACACAAACACGAGTCAGGCTCTTAATGTGCTGAAAAAAAAATATTGCTCTGTGCCAGTTGACCTAATCCTTGATTTATTTGCAGGAAACCCAAATATCAGTCAGTATCGGGTTCTTAGCGTCCACCGCTGCTCTCCCCTCCCCTGTGCTCCCTTAAAAAAAAAGTAAAACGCCCCTCTTTATCAGCGCAGTTAGCTGGCTCACCGCAACCCCTAAAGCTCTTATATAAATAAGATTAGTGTCGCGTTTGAGCGTCGGGGAATAAGAGGTGTAATATCTGATGGTTTTATATGCAGTATTATTGTTATCCCCTCTTAGTCTGGCTGATACTACTCTCTCTCTTTCTCATTTTGCGTTTGTTCGCTCACTGATTCCTTCTCTGGGTCTCTTTCTACAGATTCAGACAGTATTATGAGGGGCTAAGCTGGAATAAAGCGCCTCAGCATCAAATGTTCATATTGTTCTGATCTGTCTGTCACGCCGTCTCATCCTCTCGTATTTTTTACTATTTATCCTTTATTTTTCCTGGCTTCCTCTCTCTTTTTCCACGTCCTGCCTCCTCGGTTCTGTCATCCGCTGCTCTGTTTGTTATCAATTAAGCACCTCGGTCATATCTAATTGTGGGGCCGTGTCCCCGTTTGTAAGGGCCAAATCTGTCACCTCAGTCCTGGGAGCCGATTTAGGCCCCTTTGAGGCCATTTTGTTGTCGTCCATTTTCACATTTCCGACTAACTCTCCTCCACAGAGGGCAGGCACCACACTATAATTACCCAATCTGTTCCTATTCACACTCCTCAATTTCAGCACCTCACCCTCTCTCATTCTCCTTTGCTCTCCCTCTCTCTTTTGGGAACCGGCACCCCCCCCCTCGTCTTTTTTTTTTCTCATTGGAAATGGTGTGGGTGAGGGGGTGGGCTACAAAAGCCGGGTTACAATGTGAGGGTATTAAGTCTGGGTGCTGGCTCAGCTGGGGGCTGGCTTTAGCCAGCTGAGGGTTATCCATGACGAGCCCTGAGTCACAGCGCCGATGTCTTGTGATGTTGCTGAAGCGGAAGACTTTGCTTAACGCGCTGTACACTTTGATGGGCCCTCAGTCCCTGCATTCTGCCTGGGGAAACCCTGCAGGCCTCAGGAGCCACTTGTTGGGTTTCCGGATGAGCATTTTGCATAGATGCAGACATATTAATATTCTTGCTGTGCTTATATTCAGGTACTGATAAAATCCGTTTTCATGATCAATTATATAAGGTATTTTAACTGGGGCTGAAACAAGTAATCTGATTCATCACGATGAATCGATTATTGACAAATTATGTAAAGAAAGAACTAATTTAGTAATTGATTGTTTACTGTGCTACTTTACATTTAAGATTTAAAAAACATTGTAAATATGTTCAGACCCAAAACTCCTAAAGTAGCATATAGTTTCACCTCTACCTGGTTCAAGTTCTGTAAAAGACAAAAAACCCCTATTAAACAAGTGTTTGCTAATCAGTTATGGGTTGTATTGTAAAAGTTGGATGAAATGTGGCATGACCGTTCAGTCTGCAGATGTTTTTAAAACTATCTGGTACTTATCTAAATTAGTACCACATATGGAAGAGGTACAAATCAGATTTTTTGAGGGGATCAGGGGTTAAAAGATTGGAGTAGGACTGTTCAGATTGTCATAAAAAAACTCAGATATTTTTGGCCCTCATCCGACACAAATCGGATGAGGGTCATATACGGCTGCTATGTGAACTCAGTATCTACAAGCCAAACTTGCCAGAAAAACAGCTTTTCTATTCTGACATCACAAGCCTAAACATGGAGAGTTTGCTGGATGCTCCTGCAGCTTGAACCGGAGCTTCTTGCAACTATGACCAAACTTTTCAGAAATAATTTTGTAACAGAACCTCATGTCCAGCATGACCGTATGGAGGAGGTTCTGTGATACTGTTTCCTGTATTTATAGCTTTTTAGCCATTCATTTTAGCCATTAACAGGGGGCATTGATTATAATTGTTGCCTTGAGCCCCAGTCGGTCACAGTTGTTGTAATGTAGTAAATTATTTTTCTTTTTGAGGATTTAAACTCGGTTCTTTAAATCTCATTTTGCTAGAAATACAAGATTAAAATGTTAAACTGCTGATATGCCACTGATGCTTTTGCTTCCATGAAAACTTTCCTGTAATCTTTTCATATGATGTTGATTAATATTTCTCCAAGCTTTCTGATTATCATTCAGTCCTGTCCTGTTTTATTTTTTGACTATTCGGCTTCTGTTTCACTCAGTTTTGTATTCATGTAGCTCTTACATAAAAAAGGCTCCTAAACTGTACAGATGTACCAATATTTTATCTGCACATGCAATCCCCAAGGACTTCTCACTAGCAGCCTCCAACAATCTAATTATTTACTCAAAACACTGCAAATACTTCGAAAAATACAAAAGAGCACAGTTTGACAAAAAAAAAATCCACCAAAAAGGTTTTTTTAAAAACTTGATGATTAACATTTGAGTGTTTTCTGATTTTTTTTTTCCTCGCTCACCTGCTGCAGATAGTTTTTCTTTGGTCCAACATTTATCACTTTTTCCTTTTGACCTCTTTCCTCATTTTTTAAGCAAATACTTTACATGAAGCTCTGATCTGGGCGGTGGGTCGTGGTAGTCGGACGTTCAGTCTGAACCTGGTTTTGTTTCAGGATAGTTCCTGTTAAAAGGCAGTTTTTTCTCTCCACTGTCGCTGTTGCTCAGGAGGATGTGTTGCTGCAGCATCAGACTTAAGGCAACGAGAATTAGCTTTATCACAAAATGATCAACCGAATTAGACAGTCATTATGTTTATGATCGAACTGGATCTAAATCTGAATGTTGATATTGGGTGAACAGTCTTGAGACAAACATTCTCAAGACATGTTTGACTTGAGGATCTGGTGTAAATTTGCTGGAGTTAGTGTGACGAATAATTAAAATTGAATTCAAATGAATGACAAAGCATTCCTCTCTACTGACGGCTGTTTTAAACATTAAAAATGTCTTCATATTTACCTTGTAAGACCAGATAATTAATGCAGAAATGTGCCCATAAGTAAAGCCTGCAAATTGAAGCTCACAGCCACAATATTCAGAACACATCAACAATTTTTATAGCAAAAATAATGTCCCACATATAGCTATCAATGTTCAATATCTTGTATTATTATCATTTAGGACATATTTGAGCAGAAGATGGTTTACGTCTTAACCAAGCAGCAGAAGTCAGATGCTCAGGGGTTAATAATGAATGTATTGCCATATTATCTCTTTTTATGAGCATTTGAGGCTCAAGCAGAGATACAGAGGAAACATGCTGTTTCCAATATTGTGACTGGCTGATATAATAACATGCTCGGCTGGATGTGTTTCCGTGTAAAAGGAGAATATGAGAAGGTGAACAGTCCTTCTCCCACTTTTGAAATGTGCCAGATAACATCCAACCCTGTTTAAAAACCAGAGACAAGTGTGTGTGTGTGTGTGTGTGTGTGTGTGTGTGTGTGTGTGTGTGTGTGTGTGTGTGTGTGTGTGTGTGTGTGTGTGTGTGTGTGTGTGTGTGTGCGTGTGTGTGCGCGCGCAGTTTGGGGCACAGGCAGCAAGAAGGCTGATTTCAAAGTTTTTTTTCTTTCTTTTTTTTTTTTTTTTGAGGAAGCGGCATTTCATTCGAACTGATGCCGTTTCTGATGTCGGACTTCAAACGGCTCCTTTTTTTTCTGCTTCTTATTTCATCTGTTTCTTCCTCCTCCTGCCAAAATACCGCAACCACCCCTCTATTAAAAAAAACTATTGTCATCTGAGCTCAGATTCATTTTAGATTAACGTTCACGTTTCTTTCTTTCCCGCATTACCTTCAAAGGACCTCCATTATGTCGCCAGTGATAAGGGCGAGGTGGTGCTCGCGGACGTGGCCAAGAGGAAAGCTAATGAAATCGAAGCCCGGGCCATCGCAGGCAACGGTAAGAAAAATAATCACTTGTCCAAGCCCAAATAAAGAAAATGCAGCCCATTATTCCTCCTTACATGTCGATAACCTCGATGGCTCAGCTCCCTTGACACACCTGAGATATTTTCTCAGGCTCAAACCTTCCTCTAAAAGCATAGAAAAGAATCAAATCAGATCAAGTTTGGCTGAGAGATGCGGAACGAAACATGGACAACAGGTTGACTTGCCTTCCCTTTTCGTTTTCTCACAGCTTTAGCTGCCCTGATAAAATCCAGCCCCCTTACGCTTTGCTTCGTACAGAGACTCTGGCCTTTTTGCTATCGAAAAATGATCGCTTCCTAGACTCTGTTGAGGTTTTAAATTCTCCCCAATTGTTAATGTTTAGCCGCAACTTATGTAATGTGTCAGTTTGATGCTGTGAAGCTTAAACAGTCCCCCACTCCAAAGAGAGAAGTGCAATATCCGAACAAGATGTTAATTCAGTATTTGGAAGCATTTCCAACAAGATCGGTACAGCTTCATTCACTTCCAACTGCGTAGATTAAGCTAATTTTTATTAAAAACTATCATAGTTTAAAATTTAGATGAAGACTCTATATGTTCAGATGTAAAATGAAAGGTTTTCTTGGTAGCCCAACATGAGAGAAAAACTCAACCAATGCCCAGGTTTCCTTTTTTTTCAGTCTATGCTGCTGGCCTTTAACAAACACTCCCAAAAGCACATTCCAGAGGGGATCAAGCTGAGTTCCTGATTACAAACCCATTCTCACAACCACAACCACACAGACGCAAACACACACGCTCAGTCCACACAGAGGCTACAAGGGCCGAAGGCTAGGCAGAAAAACATTCACATTTGTGAGGGGAACTAGATGAACATGTCGGATGAGTCCTTCATTGATGCTTAAAAGCGCAGCAGAAAGGCTGCGCGGGCATGTTTGTGTGTTCACTGATGAGGTATTTAACTCCACTGTATAAGGTCAAACCCCCGAGGCTGACCGTCTCGTCTGTGTGGCTGGGAATGAAAATGAGCATTTGTGTAACTCTGAGGCCTGTTTGCATCTATTTTCCCTTTTTCTTTTTTATTCCTAATGTGATGCTTAACACGCGCATGACCCCCCTCACCCCCCACCTTCTTTATAAGCTCCCTTAATTATGTCCTCGATGATTTACCTCAATCACCTGCAGCGTGTCCTATCCTTGGACAGCAGCACTGTGGAGAGGTGAGGAAGGGACACAGGTGAGAGGCAAGGAAATGGAAGACCTGATGATATATATATGTGTGTGTGTGTGTGTGTGTGTGTGTGTGTGTGTGTGTGTGTGTGTGTGTGTGTGTGTGTGTGTGTGTGTGTACGTGCGTGTGGGTGTGGGTGTGTGTGTGTGTGTGTATGTTTTAATGTTTAATTACAACAAAGGTTTTTAGGTCTTAAGTGATTCTTGAATTCATGGTCAATCTTGGAAATAATCATTTCTAAGATTGGAAATCAGTTTTTAAAAAAAATAATTTTACTCCTCATGGAATGATAAACTAAGCTTTTTCAGAAGTAGCTATTAAAGTTTTTTGCCTGTTCACTTTTCCCACTTTAATATTTGCAAGTTATATACGCCTATGTTTTTTGTCTTCTGTAACTAAAAAATGAAGCAATTTTCAATTTGCTTCAAACTTGGGATGCATTTTCATTCTCAAACTGTAGGAACCAACATGTTATATGGCACATATTGTTGGAAACAAACATTGTATCTGGGGATTTTATAGAACAGATGATGATGATTTTAATGCAAATGATATAAAAAATTGTAATTGAAAAGTACATTTTTTTCTCTTTTTGTTTGCGACAGCCACTTTTCTGGAGTATTTAATAAATATCATTTATTGAAAAATTATACTGTACTGTTTTACCTGCTCTGGTGTGTGAGATATAACAAGATCTCCATTTCTCTTTCAGGACTCAGCTGTCTAGTTTTGGTGCATTTAATATATCTGACCTTTTTTAGAATTTCACTTTCTAATAATTGATCAGAACTGCTGAAGGGAAATCAACTTATTTGGTATGTATATATACCTATATATAGTTGGTATGTATACAACCCCATACAAAATACACATCTAACATGACACAACATGTTGTCTATTTATGTTAAAGATAAAACTTAAATAGATGATAAAAGCCTTATGGATTCCTGAATGTAGGCAAAGTAAAACCTTGTTAAACTGCAAATTGTGATGAAGCAGTTTGACAAAAGGGCAAGAAAAAACCTGGTTTTATTGATGGCAGTTTCTACACGTACTATTATACACAATCAGATTTGTCAGAAATCCTGTGATTTGATGTAGATATTTTTACACATAACACAAAGCGACACAGAAATAACATCAAAGTGCTACATCACAAGGAGGATGTCGAGCCTGTCAGTCTGGACCAAAAAGCACTCAGCCTACACACACGTCAGCGGTGTGTGTGGTGTGTCTACATGTGTGTAAGCGTGCATATTAACAGTGCTTCTAAAGGCCGGCCATCAATAATAAGTGTCCTGCTGCAAGCAGAGGGCTCCAGTGAACAGGTGTCTCACTTTACACACACGTACAAGCACACACATTTAGCATTTGTAGCATAATGTGGACGGCTGGAGGGCAGACCAAAAGCAGAATTAGCTTTTTAAGTCGATAAAAATAATCAAATCTCAATCTGTGTGTCTTCAGGGTCTCAGTTCCGATTTCAGAGGATTTGTTTTCTGCTAAATCTCTCTTACACAGGGTTTGGGCTCTCAGCTTTTGAGAAACAATCGCTATGAAGCTTTTTGGAAATTGCCTACGCTGTGAACAACTGGCCTTCTCTGCGAAATGAGAAGTGTTATATCCGAACAAGATGGCAACTTCTTTGATTGGTCGGTTGGTTGTCATTGCTAAAACTACAGGGGGAAATGTAATTCAAAAACAATGTCATTGTTCACAACTTCCTCTGTTCACTGATTGGCCCGGCTGAAATGCTATCAAAGGAATCCAAGTGAAATGGAGGAAGCTCGGACTGAACATTATAGGGAAATGAGAATCAAACAGAAATGCCCAGACGAGGAGTTTGTTAAACTAGCCTGTCACCAAGATACCATGTGCATCGCATGCTGCATTGATGACAATTATGAAAGGTAACCGAGTTTTATACGTAGACAAAAGGATTTTAACACCAACAAAGTAATTCCTTAACAGCTACTATCCAAAATCTTGACTCATGCTAAACACTTAACTCTCACATTTGAACTTCCACCTAAAGTTAAAGTGTATTAGTTTATCTCCTGAGATGAGGAAAGATATACACAATTCTCGTAGTTATGGACACAAAAGTATAACATAATCTACAGTCATAAATGTTACTTTTGCATTTCAGTAGTTAGAATCGTCAGTCGAAAGGCCTGATGACAACAGAGAATTGTGACTTAATACCCTAATATTGAATCTGGATTAGTCTTTCTGGCCTAATTTCAGCTGTAGAGTCTGTTGAAATTATTACAACAATGCTGTACCCTGGGGTGAAACATGGAGGTGGCACCATTATGCTGTGGGAGGCTTTACTTCAACAGGTGCAGGAAGAAACATGAAAAGTTTGAGGTATTTTAAGGTGAAAAATGTCAGTACTTTACCTGAAAACCATATGTGTTGACTGAAATAAACACAGGGATGCAGACAGTAATTGAGGAACACGAAGATACAACAGATGAACAAAATTTCCTACAAGCAAAACAAGAACATTCACATTTAGTTTCTTACCTTAATTTGTCAGACTTTGTGCTGGGGTTTTTTGGTTTTTTTTTACTTAAACATCTTAACTTGTTTTCAAAGTGTGATCTCCATAAGCATGTAGCTGCAGAGCCACACTTTGACTTTTAAATTTTATGCATATTTTGTCCTTTCTCGTGTGCTTCAAGCCGCCTACAAACGATGTCTTCACAATGCAGTTTGGAGGTGTGCATATTGGCTCCAGTCTTAATTCTTCATAAGACGCTTCCTACTTACATATGTCTTCATAAAAAGCATGGCTGAGGCTTACATCAGATGAAACCTTCAAAAAGAGGAGAAGGGCGGGGGGGCACTTGAGCTCTGATCAATGCGTTTCTTTTTAAAACATGTAGACGGTGTTTGATGTTTGACGGGCCGAAGCAGACGAACAAATGGGGATAGTTTGCATGTTAGTTGGAGCCAGAGGCGGTTTTCCTCCAGGTGTCAGGTGTAGCTGCCGGTGTGGTTGGGAGCACTTCCCTCGAAGAGCAACAATACAAACTGCTCAAGTTTGTATTGTCCCGCTGAAGTTTGAAAAGAAAAAAAAAAACGCAATTGAGATGATTTGCATTTAAAAGATCTAACACCAGAAAAAGAAAAAGAAAACATTGGATAATTTTTCAAAAATTTGACTCTGTACCAAATTGAGCGGTTGTTTTAAAGTGGTTGCCAGCAATAGACACCACATCTTCTGTGCCTCTCCTCTCGCATTCATGCGCGCTCATTGTGAATCTCGATCCTCTGAGATTCCTGCCGCCGCTTGTACGCACACAACCGCACAATAGAGAACACGGATCGCAGCTTAGAAATGCTCCTTTTCATACCAGCATTGGAAATCGCTTATAGCTGTCTGGCTGATACGTGTGCTGATTTGGATTGATACAGCGCTGTGAGAGGCAGAAGGCCTTTTTCTCTTCTCCTCCATCTCTGTCTCTCTCGCTCTCTATCTTTTTTTTTATTATTATTCCTTTTGAGTGCCAAGAGAAAAAGCCAACTTGGTTTTGCAACGGTTGTGTCTCCCCCTCACAAAGGCTGATGTGACTGCAGGGCCTTTTCAGCGTGCAGAGACGAGAGCTTTATCTGAAGATCCACTTCTCCACCTCCTCTCTGCTTTTCTATCTGCTCTTTGTTGTTGCAGTGAAAGCCTGTTAGCTCCGCTGCGCGTTGAGGGAAAGACGTGGTTGTTTCTGCTCCCTTTCCCAGCTGCTTTGTTTGCACATCCTCCATGACTATTTGACTTCTTGTCTCAATTCAGAAATTCCCCCAAGTGGCAGCTCACTGTCACGTACCGTGCCTCAGTGAAGCGTTCGTAGCTCTTGAACTTGTCCGCATGTTACAATCGCAAAAGGTCACATGGGATTTATGTGAAAGCCTAACGTAAGGCGGTGCGTGATTGGGAAGTGGATCGAAGTGAGGGCTTTAAAATATTTCTTCCACATCTTTGCTGTGTGCCCTACATCGTTTGCAGCAAACAACAAACAAGACATCTTCTAAGTTCCTTCCACCAACTCGTTTCCTCTTCCCACTCATTTCTGAGGTGCAAAACTAATAGTCGTCTTCAATGTCTTCCAAAATTGAAGTTTGTAACGAGATGAAACGGGGCAAGGTTCGGTCCCATGATGACACCAGTGTCCTCACTGACTCACAACAAGCATTTACAGAGTGACAGTTAATAGGTTAAGCTGTTCTCTGTTTTCATGTTCATCGTCAGGTGTTCTTCAGAGAGGCACCAGTGCTGCTTGTGGTTCCAGCTGGAGTCACAGAGAACCAGATGTGGACCCGAAGGGGACAGGTCCCTCCTCCTCAGACAACCCTCCAACACAGTGAGTATGAACATCTGAGTTTTATTGTCTAAATGTGTCCTGTGTGGAAATTTAACATCTACCCTCTTCAGTTCGGGATTGCGGTGGCAACTCCACTCACTACCACTTGACACAATGAAAATATTTTTGTTAGAAACAAGAAAAATAAAGTGCAAACCCGACTATATTGAGGACTTGTCGATAGATGTCAGAAAAGGACTGCGTGCGAGACATCCAACCATCATCTAAACCTGGAAGGGATGTGGGATTAGTGGTGTTGGTGCCTCTCCCGTCAGTCACTGGGTGACAGATGGGGTACACCGTTGTTCAGGTCGTTAAGGAAACACATATTAACCATAGAACTGCATAAATTGAAATTACAAAAATAAATCTACTTAATGGAGATTTATTTTCTGCTTAATGGAAATAGTCTTATTTTGAAAAAAAAAAACACGTTTTTTTGATCAAAAGTTTTGTGCTAGGATGAAGTGGCGTTTCAGTCATATGAAAATAGAGCAAAACCCTTTGAAAATGCTTTCCCTACACTGGCCTGTGGGGGCGCTGCAGGATATAACAAGAAAACCTCTGAAGAAGACACACAGCGCAACTTCCTTATTCACAAAATGTAAATGAAAATGGATTTTAGCATATTGTAGTATTTCTCTTTTACCTTTGGCAAAAGACCATGAGACATTTACTAGCACTAGAGTTTTGTGCTTGTTTTGGTTGTATTTACCCAGAATGCCCTGCGCTACATTCTGCTTCCTGCTTTTGGATGCAAGTCCCCTTGACATTCATATATGCATTTGAACTGCACCAGAGTTCACTTTAACTGAGCCAAGTGAACATATTTATAGGTGGACCAGAGTTCGCTTTTAGACCCCATCAGAGTTCGATTATGCATTCACATCTCCCCAAACGAACCAGACTTTCTAGGAAAATGAGCTGCAGTCTGATTAAAGCTTTCAGGGCTGCAATGAATGCACTCTAAGGCTTTTTGACAAAATAGCAGTTTGTCATTTCATAAAAATTTTTTTTTAATCTACAGATCTTTAAACATTTAGCTCTGCTCTCTACAAATAAAGTCTCCAGACGCCATTTGTTCTTTTTGTTAATTTATGCCTCCTCTTAGAGAGAGCACCAGCGGCCGGATGGCCGAGGAACAGCGTCTTCAAAATGAAACTTCAAAATGTCGAAGCCACATTGCTTCCACTTCTTAACTCTTCCAGCGATTTCAGATTTTAAAAGCCACCGGTCCAGTTCAGCGTGCGGAGTTCCTACCCAGACTCTCCGTCTCTGAGTTTAAAACAAATGGAAGAAAGAATGACTTGTTGAAAAAATAGAGACATTGAGAGAAGCCTTCATGACTCCTTTATCACGGGACGGTGGGGGAGGAAAGTGATGGATACTGCATCTAGCATATCAGAGTATTTTTATGGGATTTGGGTGTTTTAGAGAAAAAGGCGCTCTTCATCCTCGTAGGCTTTCATGGCTAAACAGCCATGAAAGCATTGTAACAGTGATGACTCTCTGAACCCCCACCTACCACTAAGCCTCCTCCATCCATTCTAAATCCCCTCCAATATAAGCAATCTGGGTCCAGAGAGAGGTAAAGAGAGATGCTGCGGCCTAAGCTCTTTTTTAAACACTAAAAGAAACAAGAGGAGGATAAAACATGTGGAAAAGGAGGTGACTTGGTGCCAGAATCTCCATCGTACCCCATCTTCCTCTACTCTGCCGTTAGGCTAAGGAAGCAGATTCCCAAAACCTCCCAAAAGACAATAGCCTCAGAGAGGAGCAAACAAAGCTCCTGCTTTTTTTTTTATTTCAATCACTCCCTCCTCCTTTAGAGGAAAAATTACTCCGAAGCCCCTCCACCTCCCCTTCTGTAATCTGGTCTCCAATGAAGTTTCGTTGTTTCTCATGTGAAGCCAGTGGCAGCTTAGCCGAGATGGAGTAGGGGAGGCATTATAACGCCGGCACTTTCTCTCGTTTGTCTCGGCCAGAAAAGAGCAGCAGAGGAGAGGGGAGGTGAGCACAATGGCGGTTCGGGGGCTCCTCACAGATTCCCACATTCTCCAAATCTGACTCGACGCTCACGGTAGCGAGAGACAACGAGACGGAAGTCTGGGAAGCTTCCCAATGTTCCTTTGATGGCTGCTGGCTTCTGTTGTTCACCACACACTCCTCTGACAGAGGAGTGCAGAGACTGGGAGCGCCTGGCTGTTTCTATCAGTGAAGGCCAAACTTATTGTGAGGCTCAGAACCAACAAGGAGCTACGACACAGTTTCCCTCTCCGATCAATCCGGAGAGTGAAAATCTGTCATCACACAGGGGGTTTGCTGTGAGCACAAAGATGTGAAGTTTGATAAGCAACTTCCGGCTCCTGAAATTAACAACAGAAAGCCTGGGCTGATGGTAAAGCCAATGACTGCTTCATCTCAATCAGAGAGGAATAAAGATGAGGAGGCTGGCACAGTGAACTAGGTGTTCTGGACCAGTTCAGGTGCAAAGGCTGAACTGGTGCCTGGGTCTGTAACTGGAAACACAGAAGAACAAACAGTCAATCAGAACTACAGACCACAGTCTGAGTGACTACAGAGTGGAACCACCTCCATCCAACCAACCATCCAGCCAACCATCCAACCAACAACCGACAAAGAAACTGATCGACCAGCATTAAAGTCCATCTCTCTGCCTGGTTTTTGTTTCTTTCTTTCTGTTTTTTGTCTTTCTTTTGGATTTTTTTTCTGCCTGTTTTATTTCTTTCTGTTTTTCCGTCCTATTTATTTCTCAGTAGATTCCTCCACTGATTTGTATTGGAAACTCATCATGTAAAGAGTTGTCAAAAACTTGCATCTGTCCATTTGTACCTCTGTCTTCCAACAGTTTTTGTCTTTGTTGTTGCTAGTTCTTCTGTGTCTTTATGACATTTTCTTTATTGATTTACACGCAAACTGTGTCTTTTGTAAGAACATTTTTATCAATGAAATATCAATTTTCTTTCTAAATGCTTGAACTGTTGACCAGATGTGTACACAACTTATTGTGCTTTTGTTGTTCTCTAGAGCCGACGAACGGACCAGACAAAGGAGACCAGAGTCCGTCCATGTGGCGGTCAGTCCAGATCTGCTCAGAACGCTGAGACAGACAGGTGGGTCTTCTGCAGGTCGAAATCAGAACATAACAAAACTGTAGCTCAGACAAACAGAGCAGCATGCAATGCTTTGAAAAAGTCTTCACCCCCTTACATATTTCTTCAGTTTAATCTTTTTTGCCACACATAATTGTTTCAGATCATCAAACAAATGCTTATGTCAAACAAAGATGAGCCTCAAATGCTATCTGTGAAAACTAGTAGTGATGTTTTTCCATTTCTGTGGCCTGCTTTAAGGTGTGCCAGAACGTCTCACTCAGATTAAAGTCTAGATTTTGACTAGGACCGTCCAAATCCTCCATTTTGTTTTCAAAAAGTCCCAATTTTATTCTTTCTGTCTGCAAAATATTTTCCCCAAAGTGCATCAAATCATTAAGATGTTGGGGGTTTTTTTTGGTGAATGTCTTTTGGATCTTTTTGGTCAGCTGTGAATTTAACCCTCAATTATGTCACCAGATGCTATTTTATTTCATTTTATTTTTTTCTTATTGTTGAATGATGAACTCTGGGAAAATCAGACCATCGGTGCTCCAGATGATGCTTTGAAACTTAAAAGCTGCTCCCTACATTTCCTCTGACTGTCATCGTCTTATATTCTGAAAGGTGGCAAATATTTTTTTCTGAAGCTGAGCGATGTTTAATTATGACCGCTGGTTGGGATCCACAGTGAAATGCGGATGCTTGTTGAGGACGTTAAGAGCTCTCGGTTCTCACACACCAACACTTCCCAAGCGACATTTCTGCTTGTACCGCTCTCTAAACGTGGCCTCAGTGCTTTAGACATCTGAGCTCACTAACCGGTCTCTTAGAAAACGTCCATTAAAAAAAAAACATCACTTCTTGTCCTCTTCTCACTGCTCTTTATATTTTAATAATTCCATTTTATTTGCAATTGTCTCAGCACCAAATCGCTCTGTCGCTCCATAATCCAGACTGTAGGCTATTGAAGGGAAACATTAGCGTCGCTGTCTTCTGTTTAAGGCATGCTGGGGTTTTAATGTCAATCACAACCTGATTAGCGCTGAGCTCAAAGACAGGGAGATCACCATAAGTGACATAAGTGTTGTTTTTTTTTATTATTATTTACATTCGTTAAAAGCCAGAAAGATGTCGGATTCTCTGAGCAACCGTGTGAACTGTTCACTGTTGAAGTGTCACTCTTACTACAGCACCCATATTCTGCTGTTTTTGCTTCTGTTTATGCAGGAAGCAGTGGCGGCAACAGACTAGGAGGGAACGTAAGTAGACTGACAGATGTGTCCACAACACAAGTTGTCGTTTGCAAGTTCAAGTCAAGTCTCAAGTCATATGTATTTGAGCAACACGCAGTCAAAATTCAAATTATTTTATCTGTCATGATGCTTCTGCTGTATGGTTTGCATAGAACGCTACATTGTGCTATATAAGGAATGATCATTAGCTTAAACTGTTAGATAACAAATAGTTAAATCACAAATGTTTTCTTGTATGTGTTTTTCTCCAACCAAGTTATTTATTTTTTTTATCAAAATGGACATAGCAGATTCAACGTCCACAATGATCTGCTGTCTTTTACTCGAAAAGAAAAATGAGGACTGTGAAATAAAAACCAAAACTCTGTCTTTAAAAACTGAATTTAAATTTAACAAAAATTATCCTGACATAAAACCCCTGATAGTAACAACTTTTACTGTTTTAATGGACTGAACGGGAAGCAAACAGCGCTGTAAACAAAACACAAAAAAACAAGAAAGACAAGATTCTTCACAATTTTTAAAGGGGCAGAATTATGTTTTCCAGGTGCATGGTGTAAGTTTATAATTCAATCAAGTAACTATGTTCACTTCAGTTGTTACAAAATGCAGCAGTGCTTCTCTATTCTTTAGCAACATTTATAGCAGCGTTTCACTGACAAGTAGTTCATTCAATGAGCTCAGCAAATGTGCAGTTCCATCAGGTGTTTGCTAATTGCATCTGGCTAGTCTGCAGGAGCTGAGTGCAGAAATATAGGGGTGGTGCTGAGTCCCCTGAGACATTTTGCACAGCTGAATGGTTTCTATAGATTTAATGGATTTCTCAACTCAAACAAGTAAATTTTAATCAGTACCGCCCCTTTAAGTCACACGTCCAGGTCAAGACTGAAGTCACTGTTTATGCATCTTAAGTGTGACTTGAGTCCCAAACTTTAGTCACCACTGCCGTTATAACTCTTATATTTAGTCACATAACATGAGTTTTTTTATGGAGACTTTATATCAAAGACCAAAGAACAAAGTTGAAACTTGGGGAGAAATTTAGTAGAGAAGCTAAAGTATGGTACAACCACAAACTTACCAGTACGTCTCCCTCTACCTAAACTTACTGCTCAGCTCAGGAGAGCTTTATTTAGAAAAGCATCCTGGGGCAACTCTGGAGGAGATCCACAGCTCGGGTGGGAGAATCTGTTGTTGACATGGTGATTAATAGCCGTGCTCTTCACAAATCTGGCCTTTGCAGAAAAATGGTGTGTGGAAGAAAATACGTGAGAAGTCTCGTTTTAAAGTTTGCAACAAGCCTCAAGCGGGACATGCATCACATGTCATCATGCACCGCTCAGAGGAAGCAGAACTGCTAAATAGTACATGTGGCAGAAAACTGACGCTGCACATCACCCTGAACACACCTTCCACACCAGATCAGGACTCTGTGGTCAGACTGGTGGGCCTCTGTATTTAGTCTCTAGAAAAGATGGCTGAGGCATCAGACCAGGAGATGATTGGCTCAAGTGGGCCGACCAGAAACGCAGCCACCCTTCCAGATTTTTATTTGCAAAATTTTTAACACAATTTTTAATTTCCCACCCATGTCACAAAATATGAAGAAATGGAAGCATGTTAATGTTTTTTCTAGGCACACAGGATGTGTGTTTCTACACAGATAATGATGAGGCATTTCTGTGTTGAACCTCTGAATGAAAAGCATGATCTTCTTTCATTTCATTTTTATCTAATGCATCTCTCTGCACTGTTTCATCATGTTGGGCCTTTCATGAAGCCATTCATTTTAGAAGGTTTAAGTCGAAAAATGTCCAACTTTGAATAATTTATTCATCAATCATTTAAGAACAAAAGACTACAGTTGAGGATTTTCTTAGACTATATGCACTTAATTTATTCGCCTAACAAAATAAATTACTATCTTTGCATGTTCATGCTGCACTTGTAAGAGGCTTTGAAAGTAAACGGATCCATGACAGATGACAATAAATTCTTTTTCTTCCAGGATGATGAAGACCCCGGGATGCTCCACGTAGTTCATTTAGGGATGGTTTGAAAAGAAAAAAAAAGAAAGATTTTATTCCCAAAAGGAGACAATATTATTATATTCTCTTCATGTATCCCAATAGATGCACCTTTTTATCTGAAATGTTGTTTGTGCAAACTGGAACTTGAACAAATAAATTTAAAAAAATCTTTTTTTTATAGAAAACCATGAATAGTTTTTTTCTATTACAAGTACATCAAAACCTGCCACTCACCAACCTGAATAAAATAAAGACTTTTTGTGTTGGTGGTTTATGTTGCAAGCGTCCGTGTGTGTGTGTGTGTGTGTGTGTGTGTGTGTGTGTGTGTGTGTGTGTGTGTGTGTGTGTGTGTGTGTGTGTGTGTGTGTGTCTGTGTGTGTGTGTGTGTGTTTTGGCCGAGATTACGGGCCGCAGTTTTATTCATGAACTAGAGCCAGGCAGCGCCTTTTAAAGCATCCGTCTCGCGGAGCCGCAGCTCCTTTCCTGAACAGCAGCCACCGCCGTGTCAGGCTGTCGACGCGCTGCTCGCGCCGACTAATCTGACAGCGCCGCGCGAGCTCTAATCCCTCACTGTATCGTAATCTATTTACTTTGCATTCTAAGAGGATTTCCACAAAAAAAAATTAAATATATATAAATAAATAAAATAAAACATACAAGAAGTGATGCTGGAAATGGACAGAAGATCAACGAGGATGCTTTTCTGCTTCTTTTCTTCTTGTTGTTTTGTTGGCTTCAAAAAATAAATAAATAAATAAATAAAATTATTGTACTTTTTTTCACCAAGCGAGGGGCGGCTGAGAGGAATCACGTTTGCGACTGATACTAACGCTTCTCCTAAACATCAGGACGTCGTGACGCTTCCCCTCTGATGACGCGGTCACGCTGCAGAGAAGTGGCACCTGTCAAGCGCGCGCGAGCCGCGTCTCTTGACTCTTTACAAAACCGAGTCTGCGTCATCCAGCTTCGAGAAAAGAAAAGCTGCGAAATCGCCTGAAAAAACAAAGGCAAACGGTGAAATCTCATCACGCAAATAAAATAATGTAACGCAGACGGATAGTAATAATAATAATAATAATAATAATAATAAAACAAAGAGGAGCCACGCGGTCTCCTCTGTCTCCCCCTTTGAGTAATTATGTCGGCTTTGTGAAACCACAAATGCTTCATTTAAAACGCGGCCAGCAGCTTTTATTGTGAAACGCCGCCTCAGATCTTTGCCATCCTGATGACTTGCAGAGATAGGCTTATTAGTGGTATTAACATACTGCGCGGGGGGCTGGAGCTGCGAAACGGCCTTGTTAACATTTTGGAAACGAATCAAGCCTCCAGCACTCAGGTTATCTGCCTTTCTTTTTTTTTTTTTTTTTTTTTTGCTTCCTCAGTGCAACAGCTGTGCAGAGTTTCTGCAAGAAGCCTTAGCATCTAATGATTCCCCCCTCCTCCTAATTGGACCAACCTCTTCTCTCCCCCTGACAGGGCGGACAGGGCTCCACTTATGGGTTTATTTCTGATGGGCATCAATCAAATCTACCCAAATGTCAGGGAAGCATGTCAGGGCCATTGTAGACATCAAATAGATTATTGCATTTGAGTTCAAATAAGTTTTTTTTTTGTTTGTTTTTTTTGCCATTAGTAAAGATTTCATGGCTTAAATTGGAAAAAAAAGTCTCCTGGTCAGTCTGAAAGTACACAAATAATTGGACGTAATGCATATTTATTTTTGCTCCAAATCATTTTAAAGCTAATGAAATGATTTATCGGTGGTTATTGTTGGATAACTGTAGATTTGTATCATTTCTAAGGATCAGGTCATGAACGAGGCTGGATGATTTTAGATGTCTTCCTTTGTAAACAAATATTTGTCAAAAGAGCTGGAAGAGGAAAAATGGCAATCGGGTTTTCACACAGGCTGTGTGTGAAACGTCGAGGCCCGCGGGCCAACGAGCCCCCGCTAAGCCCTCCCAGACCTGGAAGAGGGAGAAGACAAGTTGGGACGAGGGTCTGCCGCATCCCTTTCAGATGAGATAATTCCCCTCAAATACCTTCCTAATCCATCCCTGCTCTCTCCAAGATGCGACTGATTTCACAAGGAAGGAGACTGGGAAGCGAGGAAGTCGTCGGGACAAGCAGCCGTCATCTGAGGTTTCATCTGAAGGGAGTGGTCTGCTGAGAAACCGCAGAGAGCTGCTGCATTGCTGCCAGACCAGTTGAGTCTGATTTTCCCATCAGGTGAAGAAAAGCAGGAAGGAAGTGGTTTGATTGCTAGAACAACCTTTTACTTGTGTTTTACTGCCCCACGTTTGAACTGGGACGTTTCTATCACCTGACTCCATCTGCGGTTAGCATGCTAACAGTTTGGCCTCAGTGTGAGTGCTTTGGGCTGTGTCTTGACCGTCGACCGTAATGTGTTTATCACCGTTTTCTTTTCAATTTTTAAAGGACACAAACTGGTGTCCTCATGTTCACGGTTTAAGGTGGCTAAAACATTAGCATACATTGACTGAAAATGCTAAAGAGCTCAATTTTTGCTTTTTATCTTACAGAATATGCTCAGGGGAGAAATAGCTAGCTTCACTGCTACTCTGCAACTGCAGGAAAATATGTCAGGTCTTTTTGTGAAGTTAGTTTATGGTTCAAATCTGGTCTGATCGTTGCCTTTCCTACGCTATTTTGTTTGATTCGCTTCTCCCTTCAGTCCTCCATCTGGGCTTTCTCCCATTGAGTTGGATTGCTCTGGTAGAATTTTGTCCAGCTCAGTCAGCGAACAGAAGGAGAAGTTGTGAATATTTAATTAACAGCCATTTTGTTTGGCTCTGTGCTTCTCTTTTCACATCGGATGATAGTTGCAGGCAATTTCTGAACGTCGTACTGGCTGTTATGTAAATCGGGAGGAAACATTAACAATTAGATCAAATTTGAAACTTCAGTCGAGTCCACGTCTCCAGGAAGCAATTGTTTCTCAAAAGTCGAGAATCCAGACCCTCTTCATGAATCAAAACATCAAACAAGGGGCTAGTTTTTACCAGGCTAGTTCAAATTAGGCTAATCTGTGACAATTTGAAGTTTGTTCTTGTTCACTCAGGGCAGGATAACAAGGACAGTAGCCTCTGTAATATACAGAGCACTTTGTCCATGACAACCAACTTCAAAACCGATGCATTTTTGCCATAAAGCTGTTGGATTTGCTCAATGTCATGTTTTAAGGCAGTGCTGTTTTTCTTTTCACACTTGTGACATTGACCAAGACAACATGACTGGCTTTTTTTCTTTTGTAGTTTGTGTTCAAATGTCCATGTTAACATGTTTTATTTTGGTCACCGTTGTCAATCAAAAGCTTTTCAGGCCACGTTGTTTTCATCAAATCCGTGTAACAATTCAACGGTGAAGAATTCCTGATGGTAATCAAGCTGCAGAAGTTCTCACACCATTTGGAAATCATTTATCAGGTACAGTTTTGTCCAACAAAGCAACCGGTCTTTCTGGTGTAAGTGGACCAGATCTCCCAGCACACTTAAGGATCAGGTAACCAGAGTCCTTTAAGTCTTCCCAACCGACAAAAACAACAAACACTCCAACTCTTCGTCTTCTCGATCATATGTAGCGAGTGCCAGCCCCACCAGGAATTTTATGAATGCTCCTGGAGGTTTTTGGAAACTTCAGCTGTTAGACTTTGCTGTGTATTTTTTTCTCCTCTTGGTTAAGTCTGGATTCCAGAGGTCTTGCGATTTCTGAAACGCACAGCACAGAAACCACAAAAGAACCAAAGAAACGTGCTTCCATCGAGGAAAGAGGAAGGTAACCTTGTCGGACAAGGCAAAGAAACCAGAGACGGCAGCCCCGTATACACCCACGTCGCTGTACAGTTGACCCCAGATTAACCTCTCAGGTAAATATAATCCTCTGCATTGCTTCTCACTGCTGTAGTCAATGAAAGACGAGCATGGAAATGGAAGAAAACAGTCCGAGCACACCGAGCGCTATCAAGGCCTTCGAGATCTCACAAAACCCAAAATGCCGGTGGATTGGTCTGGCTTTGTCTTCGTTCTCTCCCTCTCTATAGAAATACAACAAGTATAGTGCAGCCTGGTCCCAGTTCATCTTCTGGTCAAAGTGTGAACAAAATGTCAGCAGGTTCCAGTCCACGACTTCACCAGAGGAGGGGAGGCCAAAGGGTTAAACGGTTAACAACCGGCCTGCAGCAATCGATGAGGTTTAAAACACCGTCTCCTTTCCACATACAGCAGGACCAGCTAACGCTTCAGCTCTCTGCAAGAACAATCTGTATGAACGTAACTCTGGCAGCCTCACCTTAAACCCTCTGAAAGCCCCAAAACAACCTGGATGCTGCAGCCCAGTGTGAGTCGACCCAGCAGCTTCTGTAAAGATGGGGGGGTTTTTTGCTCTCACTCTTTTTGCATTTCAGAGTTCAGACGTTTCCACTGCTGCTTTCAGCATCTGATGAATCAGGCAGTGAAACGAAAATATCTGGCGACAAAAACCCCAAAAAAACATTTTCACCCCCCAACCGCCCCGTTTTTTAAAATCACTTTAACATTTGTTCACAACTTTCCCAAAAAGCAAGACATAAAAATAACTTTTCAAATTTAGATCAAGAGTTTTGGGTGACTTTGGGTCTCTGACATTTGCAAAGCAAAAATTTCTAAATTATGAAAATAAAGTTGCTTTAAAAAATATATTTATATCTATATCTATCATTTCTGGTCATGTCAGTGTCGACACGTGGGTTTAGCTTTTCTGTGTTTCCAACAGACGACTTAAAATTTTATTCTATTTTAAATGTCATATTTTTAATCAAAAATCAGATTCTTTTCTTCACATTTTTATTCATCATTTCAAAACGTCTTTTAGATGAAGGTAAATATCCATCTGATTGACTAAATCCCGACTTTTGATGCCGTTTTATTCAACACAGAATTGATCAATACAATTCTGATCTCCAGAAATGACTTTTCTGAAACCCAAAGTTGCTGCACCAGGTTTCAATTCGGATGTGAGGAAGGATCCTGTGCGTGAAACACCCAAAATAATAGAAAAATAAATCAACCAAATTTTTCTCTCTGATCCCTTTTTTTATCTTTTTTTTTTTTTTGTTCTTGCACATGCGGACAGACAAACGTCTCGTTGTTTCTCTTTGGTCGCAGCTGCCTCGTGAACAACCTGCGGCTCCTCAGACGAGTCGCGCGAGCTCGATCCAGCAAATGTTTGTCTGACGCAAATCCGAACAAATCCGCCGCTGTTGGCGGACACTGCGCAGCAGCTCTTGTTTGCGCGTCTCGACGCAAAAAACACGTTTTTTTTTTTTTTTTTATGTTCGGCCGATATTTATTCAGCTGCTGCGAATCTGATCTGCATGAACAGAGGCGGCTGGACGCCTGCAGGCAGGCGGAGAGGCCCGGATCGATCACATCTGATCACATCTGATCAGATAGAAAAGTTGCTTTTTGTTTTTGTTGTTGTTTTAAATCTCTTTGGCCTTTGAAAACGACGCAAACTCGTGACTTTTTGTTTAGTTTGATGCGTTTTAAAATGCTAGAAATAAAGGAAGATCATTTCACCATTTATCTTTTTTTGTTGTTGAAAAAATGTATATCTTCAAAGTTAATTTTCTACTTTACAAACAGTAAAGTAGAAAAGCATATTTGCATATGGCAAATATGCTTTATGAACATATTTGACAAAAATAAATAAGAAAAAAAAGCAGGAGAAAAAGTTTGAGGAGAGAATAAAAAAGGTTGTTTTAATACAACCATAAAATAACAGGTTCCTCTGCTCTCTGCGGCCTCCTGACGCCATTATTATTATTATTATTATTATTATTATTATTATTATTATTTTGGGTACCTCTCGCCATCTTTCTGCGAGCATAAACGCATCAAATACACTCCTACATGTGGCCCCCCTAACCTGGCCCCACCTCCGTAATTACCGCATCAGAGGCCCCGAGATTCCTGCGGGTTATTTACGAGAAACCAGGAGTAATTATCACGCAATTACTGCGCTGCATTCAATTACGCCTCGATCAAATGTCTTCCGGCTCCCGCAATCCCCCCTCACCACCACCCCCTTTTTTTTAAACGGCAGAGTCAAAATAAAAATAAATAAATATCCTCAGCCTCCCTAAAGCAAGGAGAGACGTTCGTGTTTCAATTTAAGGCAGGCAGAGAGGATTAAACAGCCGCTCTCTAAAATGGAAATGTGGGCCCTGCACGCGTTCAAGGCTTGTTTTAATTACGCCCTGATTTGCATTTACCCCGCTATAATTAGAGAGAAACAACATAAACAGGCCTTTAAATAAAAGTGTGACTAGTTCAAATGAGAGAGAACAGCAGAGAGGATTTTTGTCATTTTCGGATGTACAAGCATCTAAAAAAAAAATTATGATAATAAATAAATAAATTATAAATAGAAGGAAAAAAAAACAGCTCCCCGCTGGGAGTCAAACTGAGACAGAATCCACTTATGGAAAATTAATTTGGACTTAAGGGATCTTTATTGGATGAACATGTATGCAAGTGTTGTTGCCTTTAAGATACATTCAACATCTCTCTCTCTCTCTTTTGGATCATTAAATCCACATTTTCCCCCTCCAATAATAATAATAATAAAAAATAAAATAAAACACAAAAAAAAGAGAGACTTTGACCCCACAATTAAGCCAAGTGCTGCGGTTCAAACATGTCCAGTTCCACCACAATGCTCAAGAAAGGAGATCTGGTTGGGAAATGTGGAGGCTGCAGTAACATCTGCACCCGGTCTGATGCCTTTCATTAAATCCAAGACATCCAAAAATTTTCACGTATTTTTTTTTTCTGCATAAAACCCCATGTGAAAAAAAAACAACAAAAAAACGCAACTTCATGGCCAATTTATCATCTTTGGAATATTGAGAAAGATTTACATGCTGCGTTTTTTTCTCTCTTTTTTGTTTTGCTTTTTTTCCCCTCCCTCCCAAAGTTGTTATAAACAATTTTAAATTCAGAAAAAGAAACAAAACAAAACAAAAAGCTAAACATGGTCACTGCAACTGACCCAAATAGTATTTACATATTTCAGCTCCGCGATGCAGCTGACTAAAAATCTCTGTTGTCCTAAAATAACAAATTTGAGAAATAAAAACTGTACAGAATCTGGCAGGGCCGGGGGTGAGAGGGGCAGGAGGGCAGGAGGGCAGTTTGTTTCAGTGCAACGGAGGGGAAAATATTCCTCCCGTCCAGAGGGCTGCTGGTCGAAGGAGTTTGTCCGAGTCGCGTTTTTGTAGAACAGTTTTTAAGCTCCTCCACATGTTTAGAAATCGCCTCAAAGCTGCTCCTGATGCTCAGTGGGATCTTTTTGTTTTTTTTAGTTTTGTCATTTTTTCTTCTTTTTTTTTTCTCGATAACACGGAGGGCAGGTGGGGAGGAGAGCAGTTCGACTGCAGAGCAGGTCGTCACGGTTCATAAACTCTTTGTTTTTAATAACAAGCAACAAACTAATAGAAGAGGGGGGCAGCAGGAAAAGAAGCCAAGATGTAAAAAAAAAGAAAAAGTTAAAAAGCTGATCACAAGACCTGGAACCTCCAGGAGGCCTGGTCTTTGTAGTCCAAGCAGTCCGTGGCGTTAAAGTTGAGCTTCCACGACGAGGCCGCCGTCTGCTCTTTGTAATCCAGGCAGTCGGAGGAGTTGAAGGCCAGGCCGGAGCCGCCGTAGGCCTGGTGGTGGTGGTGGTGGTGCCCCGACGACTGGCTGATGTGGTGGTGCGGGTGGCCGGACATGGAGGAGGCCGTCATGGGGCTCAGCTGGTGGGGGTGGTGATGGGAGTGCATGGGCGCCAGGTAGGAGCCACAGTCTACGCTGCTGAAGTAGGAGCTGGAGGGGCCCGGGTAGCCCTGGCCGTAGCCCGGCGTCTGGTTGTAGGACATGGGGTAGGAGGTGGCGGCGGCGGCCGAGCCCGACATGGACCGCTGCATGCAGGAGGCGTTGGACGGGGGTCCCGGCTCGGGGAGCGGGGCGACGGCGGGCGCGGGGGCGTTTCCCGGAGAGATGGCGGGGCTCCAGATGGAGGAGACGGTGCTGATGGAGGTAGAGGTGCTGCTGAGCGCCGCGGGCCCCGCGTGGTTGGTGGACGAGGTGGAGGAAGAGGAAGAGCCGGCGCTGGAGACGGCGGGAGGGGTGAACTGACCGCTGCTCTCCGAGCCGGTGCTCTCCCGGGCCGGAGAGGACTTCTTCTTGGGCGGCCTGGCTTTGGCGCTGCTGCCGCTCTGCTGCTGCTGGCGACACTTGGCCCTCCTGTTCTTGAACCACACCTGTACGCAAAAACACACACAAAACACACACACACACCAAGCAGGAGTTACCAACCACCATGAAACAAATAAAGGGAAAAACTCCTAGGCCATGCTGGGAGTACATTATGGAGGAAAATTGAGGGTTATTATCCATCAAGGTTCATTTCCACCTCGGCCCCTTGGCTTGGATCAGCCAGGGGTCTAATTTCATACCTGGTAGACGGCTCTAAGATAACAGGCTATTGAGTTTCACCACACAGTGGGGTAACTCTAGAGCACTGAGAGGCTCGGATCTTGTAGAGCATTTTGTTTCACACACACATTCTGAAAATAACTCAAACTGTGAGACGGCGGCCTCGGCTCCCCCCATTATGCCTTTTAAGAGTAGTATTTGTCTGGCATTGTGCTGCAGCGGTTAAATGTGTGTGCAGTATTTGCAGGGAACGAACTGTCTTATTCTTCTTGCAGAGATCAAATTACAGCAAACATCAACCCGCTTAAAAAATATACATATATATAGAAAATGCTGCTAAAGTATGAGCATTCATGAGCAAATATGCAGAATATTACATTAAGTTTTTCTGTTAGGTAAACTAAAGCAGTGCAGGTAAAGCAGATAGACCAACCAGCATAATAATCCAGATCTATGGTCTCTGGTGTAAAGTGGTTACAGTAACCAGTGAGCCAATTTTTTACTGCTATTAATTAATTTAGTCATAAATTAAGCTCTTATTGCTTTACTGGCTAATTACTCAACTCAGAGACTGTCCAATCACAAAATTAATCTAAAATACTGGGGTGGGGGGAAAACTCGAGAGTTTCGTCATTCAGGTTTCTTGGATTTTAGTAATGAATTATTAATCATCTTCAGAATGTGTACAGAAAGGGATTCTGGGACATTTTTGTGCGTGAAAATGAGGAAAACATTAAAGATAATCTGGGATATAAACTCGCGGGCTAATGGTAACGATTACCCGATAAATGTCCTGGATTAAGTGACGTCACTAACAGTAAAAAAATAATCTCATTTATGCTGTTTACAATTTATGAATGACATTAAAACACAGATTTTTTTTCTGAGCGCAATAATAAAAGATGTCTGCAATAAAATTACAATTAGCTTTTTATTATTATTATTATTATGATTTTAATTCACCTGAACTCGGGACTCCGGCAGGTTGATCTTCAGCGCCACCTCTTCCCGCATGAAGATGTCCGGGTACCGGGTTTTGGCGAACAGAGCCTCCAGGACGTCCAGCTGCGAGCGCGTGAAGGTGGTCCGCTCCCTCCGCTGCTTCCGGGGAGTCGCTGCGGGGGGGAAACGGGCGCGGAACCCCGTGAACAAAACAACACGCCGGACGTCAACAGCCAGGCTCACGGACACGGAGTCACCGAGTCACGAAATGAAACGAAATGAAAGCCGAAACTTCAACAACAAACCCAGAGCGAGTTTTATCAAGACATGCCCTTCATTTCCCCCGCTAGATAAATAAATAGATAGATAACTAACTCCACTGGTAAATAAAAGCAGCGCGAGCAGCGAGATGAAGCAGCGGCATGAAGCAGCGGCATGAAGCAGCGGCTAGCTCCGTTCATGTCTCCGGTTCTCCAGCGGCTTGAACGGCGACAAGTGAAGTGCCGGGGCCCCTACCTGGGTACCCCACCGAGGGGTGCAGCAGGTCCATGGCAGCGCCGCTCAGCCCCAGGCCATTGACCCCGTAGGGGGGCTGTTTGAGGTAGGACATCATGCTACAGGCGGTCACTGCTCCACCCAGCTCAGGCCAGTGGTTCAGCTTCCCCCGATGCTGCAGCTTGACGGAGCAGGAGGCCGATTCACGTCACTGCGCAGAGAACAACAAGAATAAATATAACAATTATAATAATAATAAGTCTAAGCGAGGCCTTTTTGTCTGGCATTCAAGCATAAATATTATGGCGTTGTTTTCTCTTACAATAAAATTATTATTATTTTTTTATATTTTGGCCTCTTTTTGGGCAACTCAAAGCTGAAAGACAATTAAACACAAACATGCAAATAACAAATAAATGTTTTAGCAGCAGGGTGATAAACGCAGGTAAACACAAGACTTAGTGGTTTAATAGGACTTTCATTTAAAAAATAAATAATAACAATAAAGTTGACGTGCGTTTGACTGCCTCTTGAAAACTTTTCATAAACAGTTTATAATAATTTCCCTGGAGAACAGAGACGCAGGAAACCTGCAGGTTCAGATGTAAACTTCTGGTTTCCGTGTTAATTTGCTTCCATTTACTGAGGCAGCAGCGTTGATCCGCATTTATATGAATCATCCACAGCCTGCGAGCATTTTCCCAGCAGCCATTTTAAATGATATAATTCACAACTTAAAAAAAAAAACTCTTCAAAACGCATGCAATGCTCTAGAAAACAACAACAACAAAAAACAACAACCCTGCAGCTCAGCCGAGTCAAACTCCAATGTGTGTGTGAGTGTGTGTGTGTGTCATGGTGTGTGTTGAGCTGCTCTGACAAAACGTCATATAAAATATAAGTGGGTCACGGATGCGTTTGATATCCTATTAATGATGCCATCAGAAGCCTTTGTGGAATTATTTTTAATATGATTGTTTTTTTTATTTTTTTTTTCTAGTCGTAACAACAAGCAGGAGTCTCTGCAGCCATTAAAACACAGAGAGGCGCTCAGTCTGAAACGTGCAGCAAATAAACAGGATAAATGATGCAAACCAGATTAATAATAATAATAATAATAGTCAAGGTGTTTTAAATTCTACTTTGAATAAATCTCAAGCCAAACAGACCCGCAGGGTGAAGAGCGCCAATTAAATTAGCGCCACTATTTCTGACAATCTGGGGCCCGACCCGCCGAACCGAAGCTCGGCCGAGCCCACGTGTAGCACAGTGGTGGCGGGTCGGAGGAGAGAAGAGGAGAAGAGAGGAGAAAAGAGAGGACATCTCGGTGCAAATGAACTCCATTAGAATTTAGATTAGACCTCCGGGGGGAGAGAGAGAGAGAGAGACTCTTATCAGAGAAATAAATTAACAAAAACCAAAACACGCCTCTCCAATTATCTACAGAGTGCTTCACACGCTTTAATGGCCAATTGCGCTCAGTAAGAAGAAGGGATAAAAAAAGAAAAAAGTCAAAGGGAAGAATTGGAATTGAAATGTGAAAATGATCTCGATTCGTGCAGGAAAGTTGATGCGGCTGAAAGTCTTTCGCTCTGTCTGCGCTATTAAGAGATAAATCTGCGGACAAATTGTCACGCAAATTGAATTAGAGTCTGTCTGCAAAACGTAAAGGAAAAAAAAGTTAAAGTATCGAAAGTGAGAGAGAAATAATAACGATGATAATAACTGTACCTTGTTTCGCTCCTCTCCTCCTCTCGGACCTCAAGAGGCGAGTAAAATTATCCAGTAGGAGGAAGACTCGTTCAAAACCAAGCAACAGTGCGCAAAGCCTGCGGCATCATGGGATATATATGTATAGAAATATATGCAAGAAAAAAAAACCCTGACAGGAGGCGCAGACGGGCTCAGCGCGTCCTCGCCGCGGTTCCGGGCGTTTTTACGGCCGCACAAATCAAACTCATTTGCCTTTTTCAGGGGGGCTCGTCGCTCGTCTGTCAGGCTGTTAAAGGTGATTTCTAATGGAGACGGATGGAGATTGATCACCTTCTCTCCGCCCCGCGCCTCTATGAGCGGAGGATCACCTGCGGGATCCGCCTCCCGCGGCCAATCACGGAGCGGCTGCGGCCGTGACGGACGGCGCGCGCCGCCAATGAGCGCGCGGAGGCAGACGTTGAGGGGAGGGGGGGGGAAGAGGGGGAGAGGCACCGCCTCCTTTTCTCCCACCACCCACCCCTCCACCTCCACCTCCAGCTCCAGCTGCACCTCCTCCACCGGCCGACCCACGGACCGACCCACGGATCCCGGAGAGCAGCAGGAAGAAGCTCGGAGGCTTTTCTGGAAGATGGAAACGGTTCAGAGGCCGCAGCGGCGGCGGGCCGCAAACTGGAGCCGACCGAACCGAGACAGCGCGGGCAAAGAGGCGACACAGCACCGGGAATAAAGCTGAACATGCGGGGTTTGATTTTACTGACTGAAAACGCTGTTGAGGTGATTTGGTTTTAAACAAACCTGGGATTTTTCTACCAAATATGAAGAATTAATTGGGGGGATTTTACCTTTTTTTTTCAAAACTATTTCCCACCTTTTTTTTCTTTTTCCTTTTTAAAAAAAAAAAAAAACTAAAATTTACAACAGAAAAAGTGGAGCGATGAAACCAGGCGGAGAGAAGTTAAATTTATCCATTTTGTTTTTTATTGACCCCCCTCCTCCTCCTTCCCCCTTTTCCCTCTTTTTTTCCCTCCTCTACACAGAGACAAATCTCATGAATATTAATGAGGTTTAATCCCCATTAAGAATTACATTTGAGGATGGTTGACGTAAAGTTTAATAGGGAGAGACCTCCAACTCACTGCGGAGGGAGGCGGGTTAAAATAAATACCTAAAAATAAAAATAACAATAGTAATAAAGAAGAAGAAGAAGAAGAAGGCGGAAGCTGCAGCCGCTCCACGTTTTAAAAAGCAAAACCTTTTAAGATGAAAACGTTTGAAATGTCCGTCCATTTGTTGTTGAAGGTCAAAACAGGAAAAAGGAAAAAAAAAAAAAACCCAACGCGGATCTCTTAAATGTGGAATAAACAAAATGGAGTCAAGTGAAGGGGTGGAATTGACATCTTTACGTCTTAAAGCAGAGCACGCACCAGGACTTTGACTAGACGGATAAATGCTGCAGGTTGTGTGTCGAGGCCTGCAGTGGTGATGCTTTAAAGGCGGCTTGCTTTCTTTCTCTTTTTTTTTTTTAACGCTGCCGCACAGGATCAAATCAGATCAAAATCAGACATGAAAGAAGCAGGGGAGAAATGAAAGGTGATTTGAAAGAGGTCAGACCCTTTTCTGCATTTTATTTCTGAAGTCCGAGCAGCCAGAGGCCCGCAAAGATCCAAATACCAGCACCCCTCCTGTTCACAGCGCGCGCGCGCACACACACACACACACACACACACACACACACCGTTAAATTATGCAAAAAGGCCATTCAACAAATATGGCCTTCCCTGCACAAAAGAGGCTCATTCTGACATTTCCCCTCAACATTTCTTGTTTTTTTCCCCCCTCTTCCTTTTCTCGATGCGAGACCTCCAGATAAACCCCCCTGAACAAGTATCAAGTTATCAAGTTGCACCAAGCTTTTTGTAATAAGAGCATTTTGTCTAATCCCAAATTGCAGTTGAATTTTCTTAATGCTGAGCTGGTAAAGCCTGGGATTAGAGGAGAGGAGGGGGGAGGGGGGGGGGGGGGGGGCGAGGGGTTGAAAAGTTTTGTCCCTTCAGCCGGGAGGATTGGAAGAAGCTCGGATCTGCGGGGATGTTGTCGGTGCTTATTAAAACGATGATGCATAAACCTCGGAGCGGCTTGTTGCGGGAAGCTCCGGGTTCCCGTCGCACTGAGCTGCGGAGCTCCGGGCTCCCAGAGGCCGAGCGGCGCGCAGCAGCTGCCGGGGGGAGAAACGCAGCGAAGGTCCCGCCGAGAGGAGACTGGATCCAAATGTTTTTCTTTCCCCCACCTGTTTATTATTATTAGTATCGTTATTTGTAATTTTTTTCCCCCTGCAAGTGGAGCAATAATAATTTCTCCTTTTCCAGTGAGTGGAGCCGCAGAGGTGAGTCAGAATCGTTTATTTCTTTCCAAGTGCGATTTGAGCGCAGCTTTAATGAGACCAATTTCTCCTCAAATCAACCAAAACGAGCCTCGAAACTTCAGACAAGTTCAGCTTGCCGCCTCTATAATTATGTATTTTTTTTAAATGTTTGAAAACCGAAACAAGTTAGAACAGAAACATAGACTTCAAATGTGGAGTTTTATTTTAACGTCCTTCACAGTGGAAAACAAAGCGCTTCGGGGGGGACCGGGGTGGGGGCGCACTGTGCATAACGGGCGCGCAAAAAAAAAAAAAAAAACCAGTCGGTCCCAAGCAGAGAAGAAACAGATCAGCAAGTGAATCTGAAAGTATCAGAGAAGCCGAGGAGGACGTCTGCTGTCACAACCGATTTCACCGCTTTAATCGCGGATGGGAGGTTCTGCCTGCGGGGACGGAGCGCCGGGTTCAGCCGCGCATCCTGCGTCCGCGGCCCCGTTTTCCAGAGACGCGTTTCACAGGTCACCTCGGTCTCACGTCAGCTTAAAAAACAAACAAACAACAACAAAAACCCCGTAATGTCGTCTTAACAAAAGGCAAATATAAAAACGTAAAGTTTTCTCGGTTCTCTCCAGATCGGCTCAGACGCTTCAGCAGCAAACAAAGATTTGTTTCAAAACCAAATTTATATGAAAGTAGCAGGAGATCTGAAGAAAGGAAGCCGATGAAGGCCACTTCATCAGCTGACAAATCGAGCGTTTATTAAGTAGAGATCACAGTGAACAATAAAACATCTATAAAGCTCACCTTGACAAAAAAAACAAAACCTAAATCTGCTTCAGAGTGACACAAAACACGTCACACACCCTGCAGGTGGAGTATGAAATCATAAGGACTTTATTATTGGAGACTTGGGTTATGACTGGAATAAATAATCAGATAAATGTTCACAGGTAAAGGACATGTGGAGCTCTAAGAGATACAAATGGAAGCAACATTTTTTTCTTTCTCTGTTCTTCCAAAAACAATAAATAGGAACCAAAATTAGCCGAGCAAAGAAACAAACAAAGCAAACCAAAAACACACGAAACGTGACAGAGTACTCGCTCACAAGCAGCTTGTGGGACAAACAACAATAAATAATAAACATATCTGCTGTTTCAGACTGCAGGGGATTCAACTGAGGACCCAGAAAGCAGAAAAATGAAGGAAATATACAATGACTTTTTTTTCTTAACTATTTCTTTTGGTTTCAAGCCAAGACAATAATAATAATAATAATAATAATAATAATAATAATAATAACAATAAAAAAACAGGAAAGATTTATGCAAGATTTATAAACAGTAATGCAGTTAAGATATTTTACAAGTATAAAGTGAAGCAACTAAATGTCAAGTAAGCTAAAAAAAAAAAAAAAATCACGTTTCTTTTCTTTAAAAAAACTCTTAACATCTAAAAATGATGTTGACGGGAAATATTCCCTCATCAAATCCGGTTGTGCTGTACCTCTGCTGTCCTCATTCTGCTCCGCGCTCTCCGTCTTCAAAACGTACTTATATTACGTAATGGTACCGATTGTTTTTTTTTTTTTTTTTCCAAGAACCGGAAGTTAGAATGCAAAATGAAAATAAAAAAAATTGTAAAAACTGTGGAAACTGCGATCCGGTTGAAAGTTGGTGCAAAGTTTGAGTCTCTGCTTGTCAAAGTGGACTAAAAACCTCGTCGGGATTCTACGAGCTGCTATTAAACGATAGGAAAAGTGAGGATATTCATGATGATACATTGCTTTAATCGGCTACGTTTTGTTGGTTTGATCACTGAAGGACACACTTCTCCTCTTTCTTGGCCATCTTGCCTTTGTTCTGCTCCAGCGTCCTCTCCAGGTGCTCGTCCTCCGCCTCGGCCCTGTGGACCACAAACATCAAAACGTCACCGGTCCCGAAGGAGCTCTGTGTGTGTGTGTGTGTGTGTGTGTGTGTGTGTGTGAGGGGGGGATGAAGTGGTGCCATGGTGGATTTGTGCCAGGGGCCACACTCTGACCTTTAACCCTTCCTGGCACCACAGATCTGGAAGAGAGCCCACCCCCCAAAGGTGGGGTCGGACCGACCGGAGTACCAGTGGGGGATAAAAAAAAAAAAAAAAACTGGTGCCGAAGGCTTTGAAAACCCCTGATTGCCTCAAACCATTTTCATACAATGTTTTTTGACTGTCCTGTAAGTAACTCACTCTTTCTCCTGGGCGTCCAGGTCCCGGACCAGCGCATCCCGTTTGTTGACCAGTATGACCAGTTCGTCCAGCAGCAGCTGCTCTCGTCTCTTCTGGGCTTCGGTTTTCTGCCAGTCTGCAAAAATCAGAGGAAGCTTCAGACTTTTGACCCCCGAAGGAAGAAAACGTTGCGTCACACTGAGTGGAGAAAAAAAACTGCATCTTTAAAGTCGTCTTTAAAGACAGATTCAAAAGTTCAGGAGTTTGAACGGTGAAGGCGCGGGTCAAAGGTCGTCCTGTTGGACCCAGCTGAGGATCAGTGGAGACGCACTCTGCTCTGAGCAAACATCCTTGAAGCGTATTGTCACGGCGATGTGCAGCTTTGACGCGGGTGGAGATACAAGGATCCCACAGGACCATGCTGCCACTGTGACAACCACTGATCAGGTATTGATCAGAGAACTGAAAACGTTTGATCAAAAGGAAATACTCGTGTTTCAGCCTGAATGAAGACATTATCAAGTCGTGGTGATGATTTGGGTGAAAACTGAAAATAATGAATTTCCTGATCAGTTCCTTTAAATAAACAAGCAGGTGAGGCCCCCCTGCCTCCCCTCCCCCCTGACTCTAGCCTCAGTTCTCTAGGGACTTTCCAGGAAGGGGCCCCACAGGGCCCAGGTGGGACCCTGATCCAAATCCCCTCAGCCTCCACTAGGAGGGGGGGCTACCTACAGGGGAGCACCCACTTCCCCTGGGGCTCAAATATCCGCCTCGGCTCTATGTTCAGCCGCCACTGGGGGCAGCGATTCGCCCTCCCCCCAAAACATCATCACAACGTTTCTGTCCGATTTAAACAAATCCTCCGCATGTTTCTCCAACACACCCTGATCCGACGTCGCCTCGGCTGAAGAGCGCCGACGTCGGAGTGTGCAGATTTATTTGGCTGCTTTGCAGCTTAAGGAGAGCAGGATATCTTCAGCTTCTCTAAAGCCCTACACACACACACACACACATCCACACACACACATATCCCAGAGAGAATCCAAACACATCTGAAGCACCGCGCTGCTTCTGTAGGCTAACTTCTCTCTATCAATATTGATCCCACAGGAATAGGAATGTTGTGAATTGTCAGTCCTAAAATACGAGAGCTTTATTAAAAATAAATATCCACCCCCCGCCTCTCCTCTTGTTGAGTCAAATTGCAGCAGTTAGATTGTGTGTGTGTCTGTGTGTGTGAGTCCTGCTGGGCCCAGTGTGTTGGTCCTGAAAGGTTTGCTCTCTCCTGATTGGCCCTGCTCGTGCCTTTGAAGTCAGCTATAGAGCGAAACAAACACACTCCCAATATTTGGCTCTCAGCGTCTTCCGGCAAAAATGACAAAATCTCACAAAATGGTTTTGGTCTCGTTTCCACCTCAGATGTCTTCGTTCAAGACAAAACTAAGTCATAAATAACTTTTTAGCCAGATATAGAAGCTTGTTTTCAGTCAATAATCCCTCAGCATTGATGAAAAGGTTCTAGCTTCATTGATGGATTATTTTGCTCATAACATGGGAAAATGTCTTATTACAAGTGTCTGCCAGTGGAACTGATACTTTTTTATCAATATTAAGGAATTAACCCAAGCTCCTATTTTTTGCTGAAAAGTTACTTATGAGTTAGTTTTGTCTTATTTCAAGTGTGCGAAAACATTTGCAGTAGAAAGTAGAGTAAAAGCAGAGCCTTAATTAAATTTACACTGAGTCGTCAAACTCCTCAGAAATGTGTCTAAACTTGCTGCTGAGCTGTTAGTGTCTTGTTTTCTTTGACTCGAGTGGTAATTTAGGACGCAGAGAATGTGGGCTGATCTGGGACACGGCGAATTCGATGAGTCATCAGGTTTAGGTAATTGTGCGACAGGAAGTCGTCACACCTCTCCCACGGCGTCCCCCCTGCCCCACCACACCGGTCCACAGAAAGGGAAGGAAAAAATTCCTTTGAAAACTTCCTTCCAAACCACAAAGGTTTAAAAATGTTCTCCTCCTTCAAAGCGGTGGTGAGCCAAAAAGCCAAACCCTGGTTGATTCTTGAAGGGGAAGAGCTAAAGAGGGTTAGGGGGTGTTGGGGGTGCTGTGGGTGGGGGTTGTCAATCACGTCCAGCAGAGCCCCGCCCCCCTCATTAGGAAGGTAAACAATAAAAAGAGCCGATGAGAGACGTGACCAGGCAACACCAGAGCGGGGCAGGCTGGGTAACCAGAGACAGAGGAACAAACAAAACACCCTGCAGCCCCCCGACAAGCCCCGCCCCCTCCATCAGAGCGAGAGAGTTGGAGGTAGAGGGAGGTTCAGGACTCAGGAGGTGTTCAGATGAACCTCACTGAGCGCGCCAGCGGTTACCATGTGAGCCTCGGCATAACACACAAGAATGTGCCGGTTCAAATCCGTACCCCCCTACCCCCGCACACACACACACCACCCCATGGCTCTCAGCGTTGCTAAATTTATTCAAGAGTGCAAACTGGTCCGAAGCCCGGCGAGACTGTCCGGCATGCAGCTGCCTGCCTCACTCTCCTGCTCAAACCAAACACGACAACAAAACGTCAGAGCAGTTGGAGCCGAGATCTTGATCGAGAATTTGTTTTACAAGCCACGTGCGCTGAAATATCAACGGATTCCCCATCGTCCCTCATCCCGCTTCATCCTGGTTCTGGAAAACAAGAAAAAAGGCCCCGCTAGGCTGGGTGAAGGCTGGAGTCAGGAGACAAAAAGTGTCAATGAAGTAAAAGAAAGATGACAGGCAAAGGAAAACGTCTGGTGGATTGAAACAAATCCTTCCGCTGCATCACATGCCAAACGTAACGGAGAAGAAAACTAACGTTTGCTGATAGAATCTCTTCAGGAGTTCAAGTTTAGGAAAATCAAACGAGGCCCGAAAAGTTCAGCAGTTTCACCCAAAACCACAACTTCTTTCCATGAGCGATTCAAATTGGAAAATGCAGCAAGTATTGAAAACATCACCTCTCCAATCAATGCCATGAGAAAGACAATACTTTTTACTAAGTCATACTAAAGAATACAAACTGCTTTGTTCATTAAATATGCAAAATGTGCAGATTATACTTTATAGACAACTTCCATTTTATAAATAGATTTGTACACATCATAAATCCATTGAAATCAATAGAACACAGCTGGGGATAAACACTTTCGGTGTAACTAGTTTCAGAAAACTTATTAGGAAACAAAAAGAAGCATCAATAAGAAGAATGAATAGAAAGATTTTCCAACTTATAGACGTGACTCTGATTAGGTTTAAGATCCTGGAACATTGTTATTATCCAGGACGAATCCAGAGAACATTGTCATCCAGATGTAAGATCAGATTAAACCTGGGCTGGTGTGAGATTCTCAGCGTAGGACAAAAATATCACAGTGTTACGGTATTTACAAAATAAATTAACAGGGCTGCTTAGCAGTAATTTATTTTGCTCAAAACTGAAAAGAAACAATTTTCTGCACAATAACAAGCACTACTGTCATTGGCCCACCTGTTGGCCAACAATGCTGCGCTGTACAATCAGAGTTTTCACTGATTTGAGTAATCTCTATACTTTAAAAAACTGAGCTGTAGAATCAATGTGAAGGAAAGTGATTAGAAAAGCATGCTATAACCTGACACCAGCTACAGTTTGTTTTCTCTTGTAAAGAAAGATCCTGATTCATTTATGAAGAAAACATTTTAAAACAGGCGTGAAGCTGGACGACCTGCAGGATTTTAGCTCCTGTTCAGAACATTCACTGCTGGAAGATCCAACATGTAGATGACTTCAGTCATATCTAATTTCAATGTTACATCAACTAATAACAGGTCGTCTGCGATGCCCCGTAAAGACGTTTGCTGCCATCGGTTTCAGTTGACTCGGCGCTGAAAGAGTCGGCGACATCATCAAAAGTCGCCCATGTGATCGGATTGCAGAGTGCACCTAATCAATCAGGGTCTGAAGCACACCGCCCCTGTGTGTTACAAAGCCCAAATAGATTTACAAATGACGTGGGGCGTGTGTGTGTGTGTGTGTGTGGAGAGGGATAAGCTCCTGCATAGGATTACATATTGATTTGAAACATATAAAAAAAGGCTTATCATATCAAACTGTAACAGGAAAAACTCAGGGACCCAGCTATGCATAAATCCCTTTTATACAGCAAGAGGGTGTCCACTTTAAAACACACACAGTTCTTTACAGCGAGCCAAGACACACCGCTTTGTGTGTGTGCATCCAAACATAGGTGTGAGTCGGTAAGCAGATAAAGAGGGCATGGTGGATCAATTTTGCGGCAGGGAGATGAGTGTGGGGCATACAGATGGCGTTTCCCCGCCTGGCATCACCCCAACATGGTACAAGGAGGTGGTTATCACTGAGCATGCTCAGAATGACATCAGCAGCAGTCCGGAGATCTTCGCTTGCCCTCACTACCAGTGATGTCAATAACGCGTCACAAAGTAACGTCGGACCACATTTTTCAGTAACGAGTAATCTAACTAATGCTGTTTCAAATCCACTAGTCGGACTACAGTTAGTTATCGAAATCACTTTGCGTTGCTTTGAGTTGCTGTCTTCTTTTGTTATTTAATTGTGTTTCCGCTACGCCTCTTGTTGAGTGACCGACGTCTCTGCATGACAGTAAAAGCAGCAACAGAAATGTAAACAATGGAGGGAGACGTGCATTTTGTTGGTGGAAAAACAGGAACTATTTTGCGTTTCTGTCACCAAGTCCGATTATTATAAGCGACTGTGGGCTTTTTTTAAAACATGCTTGCAAATTTAATGAGTCGCGGGTTGCGCCTTTTTGAACGTGAAGTTACTAATTTGGGCTTGGAAATAAGCAGAGACTCATAAAAACCCCAGAATTTGTCCGTCATTGAGGTAGTTTTAGTCAAGCTCTCCCTGTCCATCATTTCCCGGATGATCCGATGATTCGCTGTGTCTTTGTCAAGTTAATATATTACCTGTGAATTACGTCGAACTATCCAGAAAATTGGAAACATCGAGACTAACCTGAACAGCACAATAAACGTGAAAACAGCCACGAATGAACGAGTCCGTAAAGTTGTGCAACTAAAAGCCATTATAATCAGTAATATCAAGATAAGTGTCACAAATCTGTGCAGCAGCCATCTGAATCGTGGAGTGGCACGAGGAGCCCTGCGCTCTGACAACAAACACAGGGCCGTAACGCACAACCTGGAGGCTGGGGGCAGAATGGGGGCTTTAAAATCCTTCTTAGAGTTTTCCAGACAACAGACACATTACTAACATTTTTGTTCTTATTTTTTTTGTGCTGTTGTAACCATTGAAAAATCTCCTCTTCAGTTCAACTTTATAAGTGGAGATACATTGTTATAAAATAACTAGCAATTAAGTTTTGGCAAAGATCAATGTCATTTTCACAGGTGTTGTTAGCAGCTGCTGAAAGTAACTAAAAAAAGTTACTTTTAATGCATTTGATTCCAAATAGGCATGGAAACTTTCCAAATAAAGTATCTTTTCCTAGGAGTAATCAGTGATACAATTAGCTACTTTTTCAAAGTAACTATGTTATACACGAGTTTCTCTCTGAATGTCAAAGAGAGTCTGAATGGTAAATTGGGCCTGAAAGAAACAGAAAACTTTTTCTGTTAGTACCGCAAATATCAAAAAGGAACGTTAAGTTTTGGATCTAGGATAAATAACATCTATTACAAAACAAACAAAAAAATTGGATCACTTTTTTTTTTAGGATCGTGAGAAATTTTAGCTCGACAATTTTTCCCCGCAGGACAAAACGTTTGGACGCCCTTGTCCTCACCTCTCTGCTCTGACAGTAAGACAGTTTTGTATCGCTGGTATTTAAAACAGAAACAAATTTTACTTCTGCTATTTCAAGCGGAAGAGAAAAACTCCTGATCTACAGCTAAAATGTTTATCTTTTCAGAGATTTCACTCCTTGTTTGCATACTTTCCCCACTCTTTGAGCTGCTCTGCAGTTTGCGTGTGCAGTCGCAGCATCCGGTGTGACAGATGGAGGAGTGTTTGACTGACTGAAGGCATATATTTTTCCCAGCAGGGTGTGTGAGTGTCAGGGCAGGTGGATCACAGATGTGTTTTTCTCTCACCTTCTCTCATCTCTGTCTGTCTGTGTCATTGACTGGCCAA